TTCACCCTACCCTTGACCCCCCCCCCCACCTCCTACCCAGCCCTCCCCACCCACCCCTACCAGCCCCTCCACCCCCAAAAATAATTTTAAGTTTATTTTTTTAAAAAAATTTCAATTTCAAAATTTTATTTTTTCACCCTATCCTCGATCCCCCACCCACCCACCCCCTACCAGCCCCCCTCCCCCCAAAAAAAATTTTTAAGTTTGTTTTTTAAAAAATATTTTCAATTTCAAAAATTCATTTTTTCACCCCTATCCTCGACCCCTCACCCACCCATCCCCCTACCAGGCCCCCCCTCCCCACCACCCCCAAAAAATAATTTCAAGTTTGTTTTTCAAAAATATTTTCAATTTCAAAATTTTATTTTTTTCACCCCTACCATGCCCCCCCACCCACCCCCTACCAGCACCCCCCACCCAAAAAAAAAATTAAAGTTTGTTTTTAAAAAATATTTTCAGCTTCAAAATTTTATTTTTTCACCCCAACCCTCAACCCCCCACCCACCCCCACCAGCCCCCCACCCCCACCCCCAAAAAATATTTAAGTTTGTTTTTAAAAGATATTTTCAACTTCAAAATTTCATTTTTTCACCCCTATTCTCGAACCCCCTCACCCATCCCCCAAAAAAATTTAAGTTTGTTTTTAAAAAGTATTTTCAATTTCAAAAATTATTTTCTACTCTAGTAAAAATAAAAGATATTTTCCATTCATAAATTAAACACTAAAAATCTTTTTCGAAAAATATTTTCTACTCACCAATCAAACATGAGAAAATAAATCAAAAATCAACATGTTTTCCAGTAAAACATTTTCCTTCATACCAAACACTCCCTTAAAGAAAATTTTTATTATGAGGCATGTCATGTCATACTTGTATGAGACATTGTTTGATTGACAAATGGACATGGATGAGACCCATTTGCCAAGCTAATAAAGGGCAATCTTTAAGTCCCTTTATCATTTATTTTTTTTGGTTTTATGCCCCTTGTTCAATATATTATGTTTTAATTTTTTAAAATAGTTTTTTCTTCTTTAAGATTATGGTAATCAAATCTTTTAAGAATTTTATTTGCTGATCTAATTAGTTTATGCTTTTCTTTTTTTATGGACTGAATTTCGATTTAAATTTTACTATCATTATATAAGTTTTTAGTTTATTATTTTAATATTATTTTTTCTATTCTATGTTATTTATTATATTACAATAAATAGTTTTTTGAAATTTATTTTTTAGTTTGTAAAATCAAGATATAAGTAGTTTTTTAATCCTAACAATTAATATTTTTAAAATTATAAATAAATTTTGTAAAATATCAAAAATTATTTTAAGGAATAAATTATTAAAATTATTATTTATATTTATAATTTCTTAAGAAACGTGTAAGAAAAGTAGATAAACAAAATATTTATTAAATTTTACCTAGCTTGTTTAAGAATAAAAATATCGTATAAATTGATGAAAATTATATGTATTTATGTTGGTGTTTATGGATGTTTTTCATTTTTGAATTTCATGACAATAGTATCGAAACTTATGTAATTGTTTGTCAAGATCATTGTTGTTCTTTCCGTTATATTTACTTATTGAAGAGTATTTGTGGATTGAAGTAATTTTGTGAAATTGTTGAGAGAAAAATAAAAGAACTTATTAAATTTATACCTTCTTTATTTTTCATATTAATAATTTACTTTTTCTTTTACAAATTTCTTAAGAAATAGAATATAGTTTTACTAATTCATACCTTAATTTTTTTGGTAACTTTATAAATTTATTTATACTTTCAAAAACAATTAATTGTTATAATAAAATAGAAAATTTGTAATTAATTATATCTTTTTAAATTAACAACTAATTTTATATAACTATTTTTAATAATATAAATAATTAATATCAAGATTGGAAAAAAAATATCATAATGTTAGAAATAGAAGGAGTCAGGCAAGATTTTTTGGATTTCATATTTTTCATGAATAAAGTGATGTAAGTATGGAACTACTCCCTTTGTCCCTAACTACTTGTCCACTTTTCCTTTTATAGTTATCCCTAATTACTTGTCCATTTTGACAAATCAAGAAAGAACAATTTTCTTTTACCTATTATACCCTCAGTTAGTTACTTTGAAAAAGGTAGAACTTTTTGAAAATTGTAAGTTTTTAATTCATTACTTCATAATCAATAGGGGTAAAATGGTAAACTCACTATGTCAATAATTATTTTTTAATAGGTGTGTCAAATCAAAAGTAGACAAGTAATTAAGAACAGAGAAGGAGTATAATATTTGGAACAATTGTTAGAAAAGAAACCAAAGGAAAAAAAAGTTTAACAAAAGTAAGAAGAGAATAAAAAACGTTAAAATGAAGAGAGAAAGAGGAGTTTGACCATTTTTCTGACATGGATCCACTTGGCAATATATAAATGGGCCTTCATAAAACTTTTGTTTGTCATAGTGCCTCATGCATGATAAATTTTTTCGTAATTTAATAGCCAAATACATATGCAGACCTTTAAACTTGTTCCTAAATTTTATTTTGGCATTCCAACTCAACTTTGTTTCATTTTAACCCTTTAACTCCAATTTTTATGTTTCATTTTGGCACTTCTAAGTGATGTGACAGAGTGTGTGCATCACACTTTCTCTAAGAAAGTGAAAGACAAAAAAAAAATATTTTCATTCAACTCAAATACCAGCTTTCTAAATTTTCATTCAATTAAATACGAGTAAAAAAAATAATCATGTTCACTGCTAATTAATAACACTATAAAAAATGTTGAAACTCGATAGACTTCGTTGGGTTGTCATTGATTTTCTTAAGAAAGTAAATCGACGCACTTTCGTCGGTTATTTTTCACGCAAAATACAGAGAAACTCTCAAAAAGAAACTGTTACTTTAAAAAAATAAATCAATGATCATCCGTCAATTTGAATTTTTTACAATAACTAACGGATGAACGACGATTTTAAAATGCAAAATTGCAGTTGAAGAGCATATATAGAAATAAAAAAAATCATAAAATTAGTATCTTGTGTTTAAATGATGCATAAAAAAATAGAGTTGAAGGGTTAATCTTTTATTATTTTTTTAAAAAATACTTTTTTTGTATTTCACTTTCTTAGAGAAAGTGATGCACACACTCCGCCACATCACTTAGAAGTGCCAAAATAAAACATAAAAATTGGAGTTAAAAAGTTAAAATGGAACAAAATTATGTTGAAGTGTCAAAATAAAATTTAAGAACAAGTTTAAGGATCATATGTGTTTGGCCTAATTTAATTGACAAAAAGAGGTGGGTTTGTAAGAAAACAAAAGATATATGCGGAACTTTTCTTATATATTTGATCGATCTTTTCAATTGTACAATGCCTTATATATATATAGCAAGAGAAAGACTCCTAACAATTTACGAATAGCAAGGAAAAGACTCCTAACATGTAACTAATCCTAAATTGTCCTATTTGTAGTTAACTTGTAGAAGTAGGTTAGTTTATAATACTTCAGCCCACTGAGATCGTTAGCCAACTGAGGCCCAAAAAACCAAATAACCGATAAGATATCTGAATCTGTGTGTGCAGGCCCAGTACTCTTTGTACTTCTTGTCTGCGTTATTGAGCAGATCAATATTCACACCAATAGTTACGTAGGTAACTTTTTGGTGATACAAGGATTTAACTGCTAGAAGCTGGCGCCTTAATGTCGGTCTCTTCCTTTTTCCAAAACAATATTTTAGCCATCGTTGGAACTTTCTCAACTCTTCTTCTCCTCTCTACTTTCTTCTTCCTCCATAAGTATTTGCAGCTATGGAAACTGAAACTGCCACTGCATCTCAGCTGGCAGCTCTTGCTGACACAGATATCAATTGGGACAGGTTAGCTCTTTCTTCATTTACTGATCTATTTAACAGCCATACACGTTTATTTAGGAAAATGAGTGCCGATATCCTTGCTCCATTATCTCCAAATTAAATACCTCGAAACTCATTTAAGCAACACTTTTAGTTTTCAATTACTATCCTTATTTTGACAAGTAACTTAAGTCTTTAAGTTCCAGAAACCTCACTTTCCTTGCAGGTTGGATAAAGCTAGATTTCATATAATAGGAGCTATTCTTTTCACTCTTCAGTCAGCGTTAATACATCCAACAACAGTAGTGAAGACACGAATGCAAGTCACTGGATTCTCTGTATTTAGCCATATAATTAGGAGTGACGGCATCCCAGGCATCTTTAGAAGCTTCGGCACATCTGCTGTGGGATCGTTGCCAGGTAGAGTCCTGGCTTTGACTTCACTTGAAGTATCAAAAGATATGATGCTGAAATATACACAAGGTCTTAATATGTCTGAACCAACTCGTGCGGCTCTAGCAAATGGCTTTGCTGGCATGGTCTCCAACTTACTCTCATGTGTCTACTTTGTGCCTCTCGATGTGGTGAGTGAAACTGATTTCAACTAATTTACAATTTAACTTTGATGGGTTCAATCTTAAATGTTCTTATGTTTTAGCACATTGTACTTTTGAAATTGTGGATTCAACATTTGTTAGTATTTTAGTAAGCATGTGTATATCTATGCTTCGTATAAAAATGAACCCATCAAGTGTGTGGTGCATCCACCTCTGAGGGTATACACTACTTTTAAGCGTAGTGAACTGTTTCTCTCAACATACATTAGCCGATATGCTTTTTGTGAGTCCAATATTGCAGAAAGCATATTTAATATTTATATTTTTAAGCTCCACATGTTGGGTATTAAGCTAATGTCTATTTATAAATTCATAAATCCAGAGAATAAGGACATCTTTCTTCTTGCTCTTTGCTTTAACTCTGCCCCATTGGTAGTCCATAAGTTCTTTTAAATTCTTATCTTATGCCTGTGATGTGATGTTTTTTAGCAAATGAAGTTCCTTAGTTGAGTTGTAATGCAATGCTGCCTTTATTTCCTATATGTTGTGAAAATGTTTTATGCTAAGAATGATTCTCTTCTATTTCAGATTTGCCAGACTTACGGTACAGGGAATTCCAGGGACTAAGCCTTGTGCTGGTCCATTTGATGCTACACGAAAAGTACTAAAAGCTGAAGGAATTCGTGGTATTTATAGAGGATTTGGATTAACTGCTGTGACTCAGTCTCCTGCACAGGCACTTTGGTGGGGTGCCTATGGTGCTGCTCAGCACATCAGTTGGAGGTAAAAATTCTTCTTCTTACACAACCAAAACGATAGTTGCAGTCAGCTACTGAATTCCTTTTTTGTGAAATTGTTACCTCAGGAATCTCGGTTATAGTGACAACACGACAAGAAACCGTCTCACATGTAGATAGTTGCGGTCCAGGCTACAGCTGGATTGGCAGCTGGTGCCTGTTCATCAGTAATTACAACTCCCATAGATACTGTTAAAACACGACTTCAGGTAAAAACTTTATATTTTTCTCAGTTGGATTGGTGAAGAAATAACTCAAATTTGGCAAGGCTATTCTCATGATTAGATTTGGTGGTGTGTCTTAAGGTTATCGATGATTATGATGTCGGGAGACCTTCTGTACTAAAGACCACAAAAACGCTTCTCAGAGAAGATGGATGGAAAGGGTTCTATAGAGGCTTTGGACCTAGGTTCCTCAATATGTCTTTCTATGGAACAACAATGATCGTCACCTACGGGATCATCAGTAAGTTAACTTGCAGTTTCCCGGAGTTGGGATCTTTTTCTTCTACATTTTCATTAATCTCCTCTTGTTGTTTTCATTTCTTTTTCTTTTGTTAACTTTCTACATAAGGTGATTTGAGTATAATTAACTAGCTACTAATGTTTCCCTCTTGTTCTAGAGAGATTATCTATTAAGCAAGTTTGATCATTCGGACTCCAAATTAACCCCAAAGGGCATTGATATTTTTGGGAACTGTTGAACTACTAACAGGGATCTAGGCTTCATATCATGCAACTAACTTGATTATTTTTTCTCTTGTTATTCCTTTATGACATTTATACACACTTATGTCCATTTAATCTATTAGTGACTAATCATTGTCAGATTTCAGTAGTTTCTAATGTACAATATTTTCACCTTGCACTCCTCAAGATAGATCAGAGGCTTGAGAGCTTGTAATAACTCTTTATGGTTTTAAAATTCTTAGCAATAAGACTTATGGTGCTTGAAATTCTTAGCAAAGGAACTAGATAGGAAAAGTATTTAAACTTTGAAGAACTCTACTTCACTTGGTACGTTGTTGTCCTTTTATATGGAGTTGCAGGTCTATGTCTTTCACTCGCTGCTTTAAAGGACAACTTTGAGATGAGAAGCAGCGAGTATTTCTTTCTATCCAAACATAATACACCATGGGCAACAGTTAGCCAGTGTAAGATCTCATTCTTAGCGTTGCAGCTATGTGTTCTAGCAGTGGGCCACAATTTGTCTATGAATTTGCATCCAGCACAATAGAGACTTCCACATTAGGAGCAGTCAAAGAATAGGTGTGAGAACAATTCATCGGCACCCATGTGGTGCACATCAAAAAAGGCCTAGGTACCTTGGTACCCCATTTCTCGAGTCATTCAATTGTTGTTAACCTTCCATGGAGAGCGCGCTACCCACATAATGAATTGATGTCATACCTGTGCAGAAGCTAATTTCTTCCACTAGACTTCAGGATAGATCAGGAGAAGAGCTTTGTAAGCTTTTCTAATCATGAACTTACCTGCAAGGGTCCACATAAGTAATTCTGTCTTAATCTCATCATCTCCTAACCAGGTTCGTGCCTCAAAAATTTTCTTGACAGTCCTGATGAAGATAACATAGATGAGTTCGACTTTGTCTTGGTTTCTACTCCTATCCTAGTTTGTTTAAACTTTGTTGTTTCTGTACCGTAATCAACTAGGACTCTTGGTTAGTCGCTGTATATAAATATATATCCTCGTGTAAGTTGAATATTATTATTGAAGAAGAGTTTCTTACATGGTATTAGAGCCCTAAGAGGTTAAAACAACCCGAAAGAAAAAGAAAAAGAAAAACAGAGAATTGACTCCAATGGCAAAGGACGATAATATCTCCACAGCCTCTGGATCGCTAGGAATAGATCTGATTGCAACAACACAAACCTCATTCACTAATATACCTTTATCGTCCCCAAATTTCGCACACTAATTACCAGTTAAACTCACCTCCTCAAATTTTTTGTTCTGAAAGACGCAATTGCTTCCAATGGTTCGAGGGTGCGGCCTTGGTCATCATATCGATAGTAGCGCGGTGATTCCTGATCAGGTTCTGACTGGTGATCAGCCTAATCCTGCGTATCATGTTTGGCTAAAACAAGATCAACTTGTGTTAGGTTGGATTGTTGCTTCAGTCTCAGAAGGTATTTTACCTCAATTGGTTGGTGCAGAGACGACTCACAAAGCATGGAGCAAACTCGTGGCGGCCTATGCATCTGGTTCAAAGCCACAAATTCGTGAGTTGAAAATAAAATTACACACATTACAGAGAGATAATGCAAGTATCGAAACCTATGTGCAACATGCAAAGGGTATTGCAGACAAGTTGGTTGCATTGCAACATCTTGTTACTGATGATGACTTGGTAGAATTCATTGTCGCTGATTTGGGACCAACCTATCGTCCTTTTACAAGATCGCTTGAATCGCGTCAAGAGGATATTTCTTTTGATGCTTTATACGAATTGTTGTTGAATGAAGAATGACAATTAAAAAGAGATGAGGCTCTTAATGTCATAGCACCAACAACACAGTTTACTCACACCTCAGTTGCTACCAATCGTGGACGTGGTAGAGGTAGAGGTAATAGAGGTTGTGGTCGCTCGTTGAATCATGGTTATTCCTAGATGGCGAATTCTTTAGTCACCGATGTATCAACCATTGTTTGTCACAATTGTGAAGGAAAAGGTCACATCGCATGAGTATGCTCGTCGCCCAGAACACTCAATGGAACTCGATCTTTTGGCCGACCCATCTCCAACCTAGCAAACATTCAACCCTCACCTATCTGATTTTAATAATCTTGGAATTCACTCTGAATATCAAGGTCCAGAGGAGGTAACTTTAGGTAATGGCTCTAAACTACCAATTGTTCATATAGGTAAAAGTTCCCTGGTATCAGAACGCTCTCAATTGATTTATTTCGTATATAGAAACCATGTATCCATTGTTCCCATAACGTCTCCTTCTTAGCAACCACTGCCAATAGAAGTTTAAGGATGGTGGCCTTGTTCCATATGTGATAGTCGATTAGATTTCACCACCTGTTGTCCTTGGCATACATACCTTTTCCCGAATGATGAGGGCTTTTCTAGACGTTTCACAGCTTCCCGTCCAAAGAAATGTGCGAAAAATACTAGTAAACAATTCAGTGATTTTCTTTGGTAGCAAAAAAACTTGGGACCAATATGTCTTCATTTCAAATAGGATGCTCTTGATCAGCTGGACCCTCCTTAGCAGTTATTCTAACAATGAGAGGTGATCTGAGGCATATTTATAAGCCCGAAAGCCAAATTAAACACATATGTGAGCTAAGTTTGAGAGCAAAATTTCATGACAATTATAATTTTCGAATCATGTTCATGCATTATTAAGTAACCCATGTGATTAGTGAAGGCAGGTGAGACAGGACGAGAAAGAGAAACAAAATTGGATAGATCTGAAGTGGAAATAAAATAGGAAAACAATAGATGAGGCGAAAAGAGGGAGTCAAGTAGGAATTGAAGAAAAGAAAATCCCAGCTCTGTATCCTCTCCTCGTCGCGGAGAGGGGAATTATTTCTCGACACTTGAAGCTGCCTAAACAAAAGACTACGTTTTCTCTTCGGTTCGCTGAGAGGAAGTTGTTGTCAAAATAGGTAGGTTTGTTTCGCCTCTGCATCGCGGACCCACAAGCCGTATTTTTGCCCAACTATTTGGGTCTTGTTATTATAATTAACTAGGTAACTTGGCCGCGCTACGTGCGGTCTTAAAATATTATATCAAAAGTATAAATTAATCTTTTCATATTATTTGAATATGAAAGAGTTTTTAGTCCAAATTAAATTAAATAGATTAAAATTTGAATTTGAATTCATCTTATTATTCACATTGAACTAATTTCTAACAAATAAAATACACTATTACATGGAGAAAGAAAAAGTACTTTTTCATTTTTCGTTAAATATAAATTGATTAATGTCATCTAACCAGCTTAAAGATAAACAAAGCTCATTAAAAAGATTATTTGAGAAAAAAAAAAGAACATAGTCCATCCATAAGAAAGTGAAAATAACTATAGTTATATGTTGGAAATTATGACGTATGAAGATTTAAAAAGTAGAGTTTAGAAAACAAAATAAAAAAACAAACTGATCATTTTATGTAATTTACACGCAGTACATATGTACTATTATATATATATATATATATATATATATATATAAAATATGTAATTTTGTGAAACATTGTAGATTGAAGATAGAGAATTGATTTTTAAATTATATACTTTTAAAAAAAAATCTTCGCTTATACTTCAAAAAATACTTAATAACATAAAGTTTATAATGTGAAAATAATAATAAAAAATAAGACTAAATCAACCGGTAATTAATTGGTAATTATATGATAATTGAAATAGACTGTATAAGATGTATAAAAATAATTTGATAAAATATAGAAATTGTAATGTCTAAAACATAAAAATGAGCATTCGTAAATTATATTTTAAATTTAAATTGCTAAGTATAGTTGGATTGTCTAGCTAATTATATTTTTATAGACATGAAGGTGACATTTGGATAATTAAAATGTTATAGTAATTTTGATAACTTTACATATAATAAAGAACTTCGTTAAACTTTTTTCACTTTCTTACATTAAATACTCCCTTCATTTCAAAACAAAGTTTTGTTTTTATTTTTTATTTTGCTTCCAATCGTGTTTTACATAATTATGTAGAGACTTTAATGATATTTTTTTCTTTTAATCTTACCCTTATTTAATCGAAAGAAATTTATATAACAAAAAAATTGGGTCAAAGAACTATATTTTTTTGAAGATATATATTAAAGTTAATTTAGTAAAAGTATCTTACTTTATATCCCTACCCCAAACTAAAAATGAAACTTGACATACTACGAGAAGGTGAATATCATAGAACAGAAGAGTACACAACAAAATGAAATTGAATTACACTTTCTATGTTTAAAAAATAAAAACTTTTTATGAAATGAAAATCCAGCAACTTGAAGTAAAAATATGGTGTAGTGTAGTTTTAGTAGTAGTTACTCTTCTTCAATGTCTATTATTTAGCTTGAAATAAGAAACGGATAGGTGACTCTTTGGCTCTTCAACTTATGTCTTAGTAGTTATCTGAGAAAGACTTTAAGAAAAATTAAGGAAAACACTATTTCAAATATGAAATAAAAAAGATAGATAATATCAAGTAGGGGTTCCATGAAATAAAAAATTATGAACTTAAATAGAATTGAGGAATCTTTAAAGAAAAAATATAAATAGTTCTCTGTGCAATAGTATTTTTAAATCTTTGTTAGTAGTTGGTATTATTACACACAAAGTCACAATAACTAATTTGCATCTAAACAAAAATACATACTTGCAATAATAAAAAATTATAAAAATTCAAACGAAAGAAGCTATATGGAGAAAATAAAAACACACTCATCTTCCTTGGAACCTTATCATAGAAAATAGATAAAAATGAAAATACAAAATCAATGCCCACTTTTTTGATCTCATGTCTGACACCCTCTTTGAAAAACTAATCAGCATTCAAGAGTCTTTTTCATCTTGTCAAGTTAAAGCATGAATTTGATAATATAATAATACTACAAAGAACAATGAAATATAAAGAATAATCTTAATTAGTTGAAATTTCATGAAACAAAAAACTTGTGAATTTATTTTGTCATTAAAAATAGAGATATCATAAAGTATCTTATATTTTATAATTTAATAGTTAAGATTATGAATATGATAACTTTATGATATCTCTATTTTTAATGACAAAATAAATTCACAAGTTTTTTGTTTCATGAAATTTCAAAGTCATGGAATTAATGATATTATCAAAAATTAAAGTTTAATAGATTTATGTTATGAAGGTAAAACTTAAAAATTAAAATAAAATGAAAAAAACACAAATAAAGTAGATATACGAAATACATTTATATTATATAAAGATATAATTTTTTTGTTTTTAATAAACAAAAAGAAAAGTAAAAAAAAAAGAAGAAGCAAGGAACAGAAAAATCTATAAAATAAATAAAAATCATAAAATTTAACTATCGTGAATAGTTTGTTGGAATTATTTTTAAATTAAATGAAATAGTTTGTTATAATTGATGAGAATTTGAGAAATATTATAGGAAAAAGAATAATAGTTTCAATGACAAAATAAATTAAATATGGCTATTGATGAAAATAAAATAAATATGATTATTTTTAATCGTCTTTTATTTTTTAGGTAAATTTTTTGGTATTTTAAAATTAGAAAAAAGGCCAAACAAAATAAAATTGATTGAAACCCTTCGAGAGGGTCACATCACCGCTTTTATATTCATCTTTATTATTATATATAAATTTGTAATAAATTATATATTTTATTTTTACAATAAAATAATTAGTTTAAATAAAAGAAAAAATATATATACAAATAAATGTTATAGAGAAATGTCACACATTATACAAGAAAAGACAAAGAAATCATACCTTTACCATGAATTATGGATTCACATCATGGAAAATATTTTGGATACATATTTAGAAAATATATTTTTCATGTAATTAAATACACATATTTATGCAATTTAAATATGAAACATCTCCATCTTACCTTTTTCTATAGTATTATCTGTTTTTTTTAAACGTCCAAATTTAAAATCATAAATCTTTACCTATAAAGCCTGAAAAATAACAAAATTTATGTTAGCATAATTTTATAAAATCTTTTCAAATAAAAATGTAAACAAATGAAGGATGAAAAATAATTATTAAAAAAGCCATGTAAAAGGAGTTACAGAAGAAAATATATATGTTTAAATAAGTAAGGAAAGTGACTAAAAGAAGGGAGAGGAGGAAAGTAAAACAAAAATAAAGTAAAATGAAGCTTTCATTGGTAGTTTTTATGGACTTGAAATAACAATAAATATCTAATTAAAAGGTAAGAAATTAATTAGAATTTGACTTTTAGTATGGCCACGTTTTAGCAGACGTTTTAAAATGGCAGTACCATTTATCTTGTGTATTTATTTATTTTTTAATTCTTTTTAATAAAAATGAAGAAAAAATGCTAAGAAAATAAAAAAATCTAAGAAAATAGATAAATCCATTTCCTGAGCAATGAGACAAGCCGCATCAGCATACTTATGTTCCTCCTTTATATATACATGATTCTTTTTCTGGTTTTTTGGGAGAACGACGACTTGGACGATATATATTTACTCCAATTTTAGGGTTCACTCCAGCTCTTTTCATCTATTTGATTTCTTTTATGATTATTGAACATTCGTAGATTGAGATTCAAATTTTGAGTTTCCCTTATTGTAGGGCTATGTCTACTAATGATTGTGTAGTATTGATCGACTAAAATACCAAGGTAAATAACCTGAAAATTGCCGAAATCTCAACCAAGGATCATGCAAGCCTACAGACTAACCCTAAAGTCTTCCTAGCGATCAAACTACTCAAATATATACATAGTCATT